CCTGTTTATATATTGTTTTGAAAGGCCAGCAATCCGCCAAACGTTTACTCTAAACTAGTTCTATTCGAGTCCAAGTCCCGAGAGCGCCAAGCAAGAGGCCCCGTCGGGCTAGCTAGGCGAAGGCCAGGGTGTATCTTCCTCAAGAAGCGAGCCGCTCCAGTTGTCCAGGGAGGCAGATAAGCCCGCCAACCGACCAACCGCCATGTTGTTTTTTTCACCCTCAGCCCCAGTTCCAGGATACTAAGGCAGGCGGCGCTAAGTGCTGATAGGCGGGGAAAAGGCTTTGCGGAAACGCCGAGTAGCCGGGCAGGTTGAAGGCTGCTTGGGGCCCGCCGGGGCTCCGCGTAGGGGTGGCGCCGCTGCAGCTTTGACAGGCCTTGCCGTCCCGCACCAGCACCGGCACCACCACCCGCCGCATGAGAGGCGGGCCGCCCCCCGCGCCGCCCCGCTCGCCTCCCTTGGCGCGCTTCATCTTGTAGCGGTGGTTCTGGAACCAGATCTTGACCTGGGTGGGCGTCAGGCGGAGCAAGTGCGCCAGCTGCTCCCGCTCGGGCGCCGACAGGTAGCGCTGCTGCCGGAAGCGTCGCTCGAGAGCCAGCGTCTGCGCCTTGGAGAAGAGCACCCGCCGCTTCTTCTTCAGCTTCTCCTCGTCTTCCTCCCGCGCTGCCGGCCGGGTCGAGGCGGCGGCCGGGCGCGGCCGGCTCTCGGCGCAGCTGTCGTCCGATGCTGCGGGAGAGAGCGGGAGGAATCGGGCTGTTAGCCTTTGCTTTGGAAAACCGCGGGAAGGGAAGGGAAGGGGAAAGGGAGGAGAGGGGAGGGAGGGAGGGAGAGGAAGGAAAGGAAGGGAAGGGGAGGAAAGGAGGGGATGGGTGGGAGGGAGGGAGGGCAAGGAAGGGGAGGGGAGGAAAGGAAGGGATGAGAAAAAAAAGGAAGGGAAGGGGAGGGGAGAGGAATGGTGGGAGGGAAGAAGGAAGAGGAAGGAGGGAGGGGAGGAAAGGAAGGGATGAGAAAAAAAGGAAGGGAA